GTTTTGTATGAATTGTGCTTAGGCCGTGAACGATATGTATATGGTATGATATGTCCTTTTCCCGTTATGGGAGAAGTATTTATAAAATCATTGGCCTAAGACTTAGGAAATCCTAAAAGGTGGTAATTGTTCCCCCTGACTGAGGGGACGTTGTTGACTACCTATTCTTTAGGAAATCGTGGTATGACCCAATCTACATAATGGATGGAGGGATAACAGCATTGTGCACGTGTATTATTATGAGGTTAAGCCCTCACACTACATGAGGTAATGCCCAAGCGTCACCTCATGGGGGCAGGAACTTTTGTGTCGTCCTTATTCGGGGGCTCTCACAAATACAACACTACACAGTCTCCAAGCACGAGGACTTGTAAAAGCAAAGTGTTTTAAGGCTTCTTTCGGGTTCCGCTTTGTAGTCTAGGACGGGTCTTTCGATAAAAGACAAGTTCAAAATTCTGAGATGTAACCCTTTTAAATGGGAGGTGAGTCCCTCAGTTTGGGGCGAGTTTCTCTGTTGAAGGCGGTCGTTTTTAAGTGGGAGGTGAGACTGAAGTAGTGAAAAACACAAGAAGGGGGGTTGAATTGTAAAACTGAAAATCAATGCAATGAACAAGATATTTTTATCCTGGTTCGTTTGATCTCAAACTACTCCAGTCCACCCGTCAAGGTGATTTCGCCTCTCTCCAACGAGGTCTTAATCCACTATATTCAACTGAATATTACAAACTATTTTAACAACTGCTAAAGCCTTCTTGATGCAAACCACAACCCGGTTTGTCAAGGAAACACTTTCTTACAAAGAAGATAAATCTAAGTGTGTGAATGTTTTCTACAAAACTGTATCACAACTGTGATGTATACACAACTTTAAGCTTAGAAACTAGATTGCTAAAACAAAGATTGAGTAAGGAGATATGAGGTGTTTAGCAAACTGAGAGAAGGAAGATTATGATCAGCTTTTAGGCGTGTAAGATGTTGGAGAGCATTAGCCAATTCAATCTTCATAGTTCTGTTTATATAGCACTGAGATTCTTGAACGTTGGAGCAATATTCTTGATTCAATGCTAATAACAAACTTTCCTTATTGAGCAGATCTTGTCTGGAATGAGGCCGTTGGTAATAATACGCTTTCAATGCACAGTGTCGTTGCTTACTTAATGCATGTTCTGGCTTGGCTCATTCTGACTCTGCTTAGCTGCTGATGAACTTGTTGTTTTCTTTATCAGAGTGTTGAGCGCAGTTCTGTTCATCAAGCTTCAGCATACACGTGAGTTGATCTTCTGATTCTGGTATTCTGATATAGCAACTTCTGATGCTGATGTCAAGAATCAATATTCTGATGCTGATTAAGTATGCTCTTGCTTATACCTATCAGAATTTCTGCAAAGTAGAACGTGATATTTTAGGTAGCAGATAGTTCATACATGAATCATATAAATAATATATCTTTTCATTTTGTTATCATCAAAACTTAAACATAGGGTAGTAGATTCAAACATTGTTCTAACAATCTCCCCCTTTTTGATGATGACAAAAACTGGATATTTTTAATTGAAAATAACGTGAAAAGGTATCAGAGATATGTATCAGAGTACGAGGTTATCAAAGATAAGGGATAAGAGATGAGAGATACTCCCCCTGAGTTTATTGCTTCCCTTTTTGATTCCAAGAGTTCTTCAGGATCAGAGCTTTTTGCCTTTCTTTGAACATCAGAGTATCAGAGTCTTTGACTATCAGAAGCTTTAGATCAGTATATCAGAGCAGAGCTTAGATCAGCGTATCAGAGCTTTTCTTGTCAGAGCTTTGCTTTGGGTCAGAGTATCAGAGCGGATCAGAGTATCAGAGCTGTAGTCTTCAGAGTATCATGGTGCTTTCTTGTACCTGTAGACTTAAGCAAAACAGACAGCATTTTCAAGTATAACAGAGTTAGAATGTTCGAGAATTTCTGTCTTAGTAATCCGTTATTATTTAAAATATCATTCTTGTTCTCCCCCTTTTTGTCAGCAATCAAAAAGTGTAAGTGATGTGCTAAAACAAATAAGATCAGAAAAACTTATTATATTAAAAGGTTCAGAATCAGACAAAACATATTAAAACAGTACAACAGATAATCAAAGAAAACATGAAAATGACATGAATGAAAAACTAAAGTTGGGGAGGAAGGCGTGTGAACAGGTTCTCCAGCATGGCTTTGATCTGATCAGTAGTCTCATTCTGCTTGTTCTGAGATGGTTGAACAGAAGATGAGCCAAGTTGATTTTTACCTTCTGATTGATAAAGTAGATCAGAAACTGCTGATCCACATTTATGTAATCAGGGGAACTAGTTGGCTTCCTATGGTTGAAGCACCCTAGAATTATCTTTGCCCAAATTCTGTGATGATCCTTCAGATCTTTGATCTTGCTGCTGGGCACCCCATGGGTGAAAATCTTTTCAGCTATGACGCCCACGTCAGCACATCTCTCAGCCATATCAATACAGCGGACGCCACCGCCACTGTAACCTATTAACTTTGCTATGTGATCCTCAGTGATCACAATCTTCTTCCCCATAATGTAGGAGGTGACTTGATGCGTTGAAGTTGTCGCATGAATCCAGAATTCCTTCACTAACATAGGGAATGTTGGTCCAACCAACCTGTCAAAATACCTTTCCCATTTTTGTGCCCTAACTTCTTCAGTTAGGTCAAAACCGTTTTCCTTCAAGCTTCCAAAATCGATGATCAATTCAGATAACACTTCAAGATTATTCACAGGAGTGAGGAGTGTTCTGAATGGCACTTGATACTGTTCAGATGATGCTTTCTTCTGAGGACCTGCAGAAGCACTGCTGGAGGTTGCCATGTTCACACTAAAAGATTTTGAGAAGAAACTGAGAAAAAAAGAGTTTGCAAGAGATGAACACAGAAAAATGCAGAGAATGCTTGAGAGAAAGTGAGAAACTGTAAAAGATTAGAATGAGAGGTTAACGTGTTTAAATACAGTTCAGAATATTTTGAAATTGTAAACGTTTTTAAGAGAGAGAATTAAAATCATGATTACGTTTCAAAAGCATGATTACTTTTCATTTAATGCTTGCTGATTTTGGGGGATTTGAGAAAGATACTTAAAAACGGTTACCAGACATGTGTCTCAATGCACCCAATCAGCGTTTTGCCTTCTCAGAAGCGTGCACGCGTTCTGCTTCAGAGATTTGCTGATGATTGGATGACACTTGTTTGATGTAGTGATCAGCACGTCTGTCTTTGAGCTTATACTCTCAGATCTTTAGACTTGCATCTGATACAATCTGCATGTTCTATCTTTCTGAAAGAAGATTGATCAGAAGTTCACAGAAAACAAATACATTCTGAAGATAAATATATGGAATTAAAACATTTTCACTCTGGGCAGATTTTCATGCTGAGATGTTTCAGAATGAAATTAAACCTATCTTCAGAAAGGGGTTTAGTGAAGATATCAGCCCATTGATGGTCTGTATCTATGAATTTTAAATTCAAAATTCCTTTCTGAATATAGTCCCTAATGAAGTGATGTTTTATTTCTATATGCTTAGCTCTAGAATGTAAAATGGGATTCTTACTTAAGCAAATAGCAGAAGTATTATCACAGAGTATAGGAATGTTACTCTCAAAAATTTGGAAGTCTTCAAGCTGACTTTTCATCCAGAGCATTTGTGTGCTACATCTTGCTGCTGCTATGTACTCAGCTTCTGTTGTTGATAGCGCAATTGTTGATTGCCTTTTGCTGGACCAAGAGATCAGATTTTCTCCCAGAAACTGGCAGCTTCCAGAAGTACTTTTACGCTCCACTCTGTCTCCAGCAAAGTCAGCATCGCAGTAGCCTACTAAACTGTAATCACTAGATTTTCTATAAAACAAACCCAGATTAGTAGTACCTTTCAGATACTTGAAAATTCGCTTAACAACTGTTAAGTGAGATTCTCTAGGATCTGATTGGAATCTAGCACAAATACAAACGCTGAATAATATATCAGGTCTCGAAGCAGTCAGATAGAGGAGAGAACCAATCATACCTCTGTAGACTTTCTGTTCTACATTTTTGCTTACCTCTTCTCTTTCCAGAATGCACGTGGGATGCATTGGAATCTTTGATGGCTTACATTCTGAGAGGTCAAATTTCTTCAGAAGATCTTTGATGTATTTGCTCTAATGAATGTAAGTTCCCTCTGGAGTTTGATTGATCTGAATTCCTAGAAAGAATTTCAGTTCCCCCATGAGGCTCATCTCAAATTCTGCCTGCATACACTTAGCAAATTTTCTTCCAAGAGAAGGATTAGTAGAACCAAAAATAATATCATCAACATAAATTTGACAGACTAAGATGTCATTCTTAACTGATTTACAGAATAAGGTAGTGTCCACTTTCCCTCTGGTGAATTCATTTTCTAACAGAAAGTTACTTAGCCTTTCATACCAAGCTCTGGGAGCTTGTTTCAGACCATATAGTGACTTCTTTAGTTTGAAAACATGTTCTGGATGTTTTGTATTTTCAAAATCAGGAGGTTGGTGCACATAGACCTCTTCTTCTATATAACCATTTAAGAATGCACTTTTGACATCCATCTGATACAGAGTGATGCCTCTATTAACAGCAAATGA